CCCCCCCCTGTCCTTCCTTCCTCCTCTCTTCCTTCTTCTCTCTTTCTCTCTCTCTCTCTATCTCCCCTTTCTCTCTTCTCGCCCTCGCGCTTCGGGTCACGGCGAAGATCGATACGATATCGCGGACCTCACGATCGCCTGGGTGGTCCTCCTCGCGCAGCACCGGCTTCTGGGACTGATTTAATTCGGCTACGTGGACCGTCTGATACCGCTCTTCGCTGTCGACCGGTGAATTCATCGTTCGACGCGTCCGTTTGTTCTTTTAAATCTTCTCACCGTACGATGCGTAAAGCCAAGTTTCCATTACGACGAACGAGGAAACTTAAAACGTCCTCTCAGGAGATCTAAATTCCCTTTGATGCTGCAAATAGAAAGTTACTTTCGTTTTCTCCATCTGAAGACTTAATTCAGAACTCAGTGGACTTAATATAGGGCCAAAACTTCGACTCGGGGTCTGTGTGTGTATGTGTGTGCGTATTTAATATCATTTATTTGATATTATTTCGGCTTGGTAAAAATTTGCTTGAAAAATATATCGTCGTTATCTCTCATTCTCACACATGTATCTTCAGTATTAGCATAAATCAGAAGGTACAGAGTGGACGAAGAATCACGGGGTTGTTCAATGTTCCAAAAGTAAGAAAATTATAAAATTGGGGCTTCAGACCGTTCCACCCCTCAAAAGCATGAAATCCCCATCAAGCTATCCATCAATCGATTAACTTTCCCCTTCGTCCGACTTCTGCTCCTTTCTCCCCCCCCCCTCTCTCTCTCTCTCTTTTTCTCTTAACAAATATCAATTTGACTACCATCTAGCCTATTTCTTCGCGTGAGCGGAAATTATCGGCAGAAAGGGCGAAAAAGAAGAAAGAGGGGGTGGCGGTGGCGCTTTAAATCGCGAGGCTCGCTCGAGCCGTCCGGGTAATCCAGACAGATGGGACTCGTTAATGGGACGCGCGAGTAATTTGCAAGAAATCTAATAACACCGTGGCCTGCCCCCTCCCCATAACTCGTGGCTTGACTTTCCACCTCGAGGCCCCTCTGCCCTCACCCCCAAGCCGGCCGATCCTCGTTCGAGGACCGTCTAATGACAATACACGGGCACCGTGCTCGTGAAAATTAAAATTCGCCCGGGGGTCGTGCACGACGTTCTCGTACGTACAGCACTGGTCTGTCCCGCGCACGTGTGAGTGCGTGTGTCCAGGTGGTCGTGGAAGATCGCGTGTAGCGATGGCGCCGATACCCACGCGAGACACCCCAAATACAGTATCGAACAAAAGTACGCGATTGAGTTCGCGACTAATTCATCGTACGTTGATTCACGCGCGTTACGGAATATTTATCGATCATTGCAACACGTCATCTGAAAAATCTACCTCAACGAACTCAGGCTTCCCCATCGAGAGATAAACGCAGCGTGTTATGTCGCACCAGAAAATTCCTTGTCAAACCTTTCCGTTATTTTACAACGACGTTTTTCACGACATCTTATAAGGCAGTGTTGTTATTATTATTATTATTTCGAGCGTTATTACACAGAGAAAAAGGTTTCTTCCGATTTAACAAGATTCTATCCACCGTATCACCATAATGAGTTCATTATAGAGAATGCGCGTGCGATATATTAATATAAGCATTGGGAAGTGGGATACTTAAATAGGAAAATTCGTTTCTCCGATTTTCGAATTTCATCAAAACCGGACAAGATCGGACAACTGTTTGGAAAACCGGACGGGTGGCAACGCTGCTTACGGTTCTTAAAAATACCGTCCGACGGAATTTGACACCTAGCCTACAGTACAGGATAGGTATTGGCAGGGGGAACCTCTCCATCGCTATCGCGTGTCCGTACACGGGTGTCCGTACGCGTGTGCGTGAGTACGTGCGTGCGTGCGCACACACAGCGCGACTCGCGTAGAAGAAGAGAAAAGACGGCGCGGGGGAGCGCGGAACTCGTTAAGCAGTTTGCGGTTCGTCCCGTCCTTTTTTTCCACCCGGGCGCGCCTTTAGCGTAAACATATTCCGCGAAGAGATCAGCATCTTTCTCCCTACGCGCGCACCGCTTTTTCTTCTTCTTTATTTCCCCTCCCGGCCCTGTCTTTCCCCGCGCGCGTCTTTGTTTCTTATTACGCGCCGCTTTCTGGTATTTCGGTCCACCCACGATGCGCGCCGATCGAGCGCGCGAAACACTCGCCCGAAATCGACGGGCAGTTTTCCGCGACGTACGCCAAGCGGATGATCTCGTCGTCCTTTGGATCACCGCATGAGCCGCGAAAACTGCAGCCGAAAAGATCGTTATTGTTGCATCAAATACACACCGAGCCGAAGAATATCCTGAGAAATACAAAAAGTGGAAGGACCACTTCGAGGTCACTACGGACGATTCGTTTTCTTCTCTTACATAGCGATAAACGCGGCCGTTCGTTTCTGAATTTTATCTCACCGATACGAAAATCGCGTTTAGAGATGATGAGGGAATGAGAGAGAGAGAGAGAGAGAGTCGCATTTAGTGCTAACTGCACTGTTGAGAATGCGGGCCTATGATCGCGAAAATATACGATCGATATACGACATACGATCGAGGTATGCAACGGGGCGATTCGGCCAGATTAGACGCCGATTAAAATTCACGGCGTGTCCGGGCAGTATAATTTGATTTCGTAGGTGTTCGTGCAGATCGAGTTACGTGAACCGAGCGGAATCGGGGAGGACTCGCAGCGGGCGCGTGTTTTTCGTTTTCTCTCCCTTCGGCCGAAACGCGCGGCCCTCGTGCGCGAACTTTTCTCCTTCTTCAACGCGAGAGCGGATAACAAATTTGACGACTATTAAAATTGAAACGCGCTCATTATCGATCCGCCACGCTAATCGGGCATGGCGGAGAGCGCGACTCACGGATTCCGCATGGATCGAGTTACGTGCGGCGGATTCGATTATTTCGTCCGATTAGGCACGAGATCGCTACGGTGGCATTTTCTCGCGACGGTAACCTCGGCCGTCCTCCTTCAACCCCCCCCCCCTTNCCTCCTTCGCGGCCACCCACCGAATTCGCTCGGCTGTAATTTTGCGCACCTCTGAAAATGGTTCCGCGACACCTGCTTACCCGGCAGCGTTACACCGCAGGATGAAGTGTGTTACAGCACGTTCGAAGCGTGTTAACACGTTTCCACTTTTAACACACTATATTGACATTTTATATTAACAGATGTGTGTTAAAGGAATACATTTCTATGTGTGTTAAATGTTCAAGAAACACGCTTCATTTTGCAGAGCGTCGCCGTCGTCGGATACCGTTTTCGTTCCCGCGTGAGTTAATTTTTCCCCAGTTGATAAAATTTGATAAAATATGGACATTTTTATCCCCGTTAATTTGGAGATACTTTAAGCCTTTGTGATGGAAATTCAGGCTATCATCAGGATGCAGGCTATCGTCGGGATACGGCATCCGGAATGACTCGAATTACGGTCACAATGGATTATAAATCTTGAGTCCATTTGTATGAGTAGTACAGGAGGATGTATCTGAACTCCAAGACTTTTTTCATTAATTTCTCAACGTAGAATCCTTCATGGAATTCAACATCGAATTTTCAACATAGAACCCGTAAGTTTGCACGCGAAATCAGGCGCATTCTGTATAAGTATTTTTCCAAATTTTGAACAATTTTTAACATTAAATTTTGGCTCGCGATGATCGAAAAATTACGGAAACTCAACGGCGCAGCTTGAACACAACATAATGGTTTCGCGCGCGTGTGAAGTAGCGGACGGGCTGTCGAACGTTTTTGATTCGTATCGATTTATCGCCGCCTGGATCCGCAACTTCTGAGCGGATTTTGGAAACGGACTTGAATCGATTATGCACGTACGTCAATCGTGGCCCGTGGGATTCGTATCGTATTTGATTCCGGGTCGTTTTGGATCAGCGGGTGGTCCGATGTCGGGCAGGAAAGTGAAGGAAGAGGAGGAGGAGGGAGAGGAGGAGGAGAAGGTGGTGGGTCCCTCTGTCAGGCTGGACCGGGCCGCATTAAGAGTCGGACGGCATTAAAGCGTTGTTTAGCAGGCTATTTTGAATTTTAATTCCCGCGGTCGGCTACGCGTGTGCGTTGCCAAGGTGTGGAATAGATTAGTTTTCGCTCACACGACTGTCAGCTACTTGCCGCGGGGCTCCGACTGACTGGCTCGATCGCGGGGCGACAGATAACTGTACCCCTTCTCTTTCCTCCTCTTACGCACACACATGCGCGTCCTTCGCCCGTTTCACTTTCGCTCCTTCTCTTCCATCCTGTTAGTTACGTACAATCTCGTCCCCTACTCTCTTTTACCTGAAGATAATAACAGAGCCAAACGTTCACGCAAGCTTCGATGATGCTCCAACGATGCTCTCGCAAAACTTGCAATGTTTCCTTATAGTGCGCCTCAGAATATGAAACTGAACATTATTACGAACGCAATCCACCAAGCCGATTAAGTTTCCCGCGGCACTTGATGATGTTATCGCCTAACCGGCCAAGAATCGCGATTGTCCCTGCTCGATCGGCCGTTCTCAAACTCGCCCACCTGTTCGCAGGGGGCCACACCGGGCGATGACGAACGACGGGACCGACGGTGGATCCGGCTCGATCGATGAAGATGCCGCGTGAGATCCTGCCGCGTCCTCGCACGAAGGAAGCGCGGCCGCGGTTCAAGGCCGCGCGTCTGGCCCAAGTTCAGAGCTCGTTGTTGCCGCGGTAAAAAGAAGAGGGATGATCGATGGTGAGAATCGACTGGGCTAGTCACTGTGGCTTCGTACAGGAGAAGACATCACCTTGCGGAGGAGGTGCCAGGACTCTACATTCGGCGCCTAACGCTCGAGGACCCCAGAAGGAGGGAACCGTCCGGTTCAAGGTCGCAGTCCCCGGCCCGCCATATCTGTCATCCTCGTAGCGGCTGTGCACCCTCGGCGCGAGGATCCTCGAGGTACCGTGGCGGCCGCTAACTCGAGGTGTCCCCCCCCCCTCACAAATTTACGGCGGGCTCGCTGCCAACTGTAGCGGCGCGATTAGTTCGAAGGCGATGATTGACAAGTCGGAGATCTCTCTGCATCGCTTCGGCTACCTTCGTCATATTATTACAATGCGAACTGGCAATTAAGCGATCAAGAAACTGGTTCCAAGGAATTTCAGGTGGTTTTCGCGTAGCTCTCTCTCTCTCTCTCTCTCTTGTCTATATTTAGAACATTTCTCCGATCCCGTCGCTCGCTTCGAACATATCGCTCTTTTTTTCCCCATTCCTTATTAAATTAAGAAAAAGGAAACTCGATAAAAAGATAGACACACATCCTTCTCTCCGCCCTCGGTCTCCGTCCCACCTGGGAGCGTTCCTGCCTTCTCTTCCCCGACACGTCGCTCGGGAAAATAAACTGGCTCGCTTAAACCCGCATTTAAACGGCGCAGTGCAGCAACCGATCGTCCCGGTCTGCTTATCGGATGATTAACGTAGTCGGGCGCGTACAAATTAACGCGGTTATTGCGCAAAGAGTCACTCTCCCGCGTTCCTCGAGCCGGAGGTGGTAAATCGCGCGCGCAGAGAAAAAGAGAGAGAGAGAGAGAGAGAGAGAAAGCCGGTCTAGGGAAGTCGCGTCGCTCACGACGAGCGCTCGCTAGGACCCCGTAATTAAACGTACTAAAATTTAACGGTCGGTCCGGGACGTACGATCGCCGCTGACGCTGCTGCGACTTAATAAAGCCTCACGGGCGATCGCACCGGTCTCGCAGCCGGCACTGTAACGTTATTAAAGCAGCTCTCGCATTAAAATACGAGCAGTATCGGTACGTCATTATCATCGACGTTTGATCTCCCTCCCTCCCCGCCACGGTCGATCTCCCTTTCTCTTTCGTTCTCTTTCTTTCTCTTCCCTCCTCACCATCACTCGCATTCCCGCCTTTCTTCTCGTCGCGCCTCCTCCTACCTCGTCTTCTCTGTCCCTCGTAACGTCACGGGCTCCACGCTGTACGCCGGCGAACCTGACCTCCGCCCGAGATCCGAGCAAGGTTACCGAGTTTATTGCGACTTTGGAACGTGCTCTCGTTTCGCGCGAAGCAACCACCACCGCCGAGTCCTCCCACGTTTCGCCCGAATTCCCTTTGATCCTTCCCTCTTCCTCTTCTCGGGAAGTCTTTCGCTGCAAATGGCCCGCGTATCTTGCGAGACACGCTCCTTGCCCCCGACAATTAGATCTATCGCTGGATTCGGTAATCGAGAGCACTTTGAGGATCGTGGCGTGGATCCTCGCAGCTACCGCTCGTGGGTCTATTCGAACTTTACTTGGGGGAAGCGGGAATATGGTGCATCTATTATGTCTTCATTATGTAAGAGGTCCCTCCGCGTATATATGCGCGTATAACACGTAACATGAATAAATATATATAATAACGTTAGTAAAATCTAAAAATTTTATGTCTTTCGTGCGTGAGAGCAAATATTATGTGAACATCCTTAGAAATTTAGGATAGGGATTTCATGCATTTTTTTTTTACAGTTACTAGACGGTCGTATTAAGTTTTGTTTAGTAATTGAGGAGTAGAACTACTTGGAATCCCAATCGGGGGATGTTGATTGAACGCTTTTCGTGTAACTACTCCGCACAAAAGATGCGCAAGATGGTGAACCCATTTACCGAACGAAAACAGAACAACAAATGAACGAGAAAATTATTCACAGTCCGTCACAGTTTTTTTTTTTTCGAAATCTGTCGATATTACTTTTAAGTTTTCCCTTTCTCTACGTATCATCCGCTTTGATTCGCAATTTTAACACGACGCCGCAAACAATTAAAAACAATCGCATCGTATGTTCTGTCACAGTTTTTTTTATAACGTATACTTTGTCCGAGGCGGCGATATTTATTTTTTTCGGACGAGCGAATGCAAACGCGGCGGATTGATAAATCCACCGAATCATCTCCCGTCATGATTATTTCCAGTGTCCAGGGTATTATTTTTCCCCTCCAGCTCTTCCCGCGCTTCGTTCTCCATCGCGCGCGCGCGAGTCCGCCTTTTTGCTCTCGCTATATTTTTTCATCCCCTCCTTCTTGTTCAGTTTGCGGTTCAAGGTCGTAATCTTCTCGAGACCTCCTTTCTTTCAACCAGTTCCCCGCTTCGCTGCCCTTTTAATCTTTTTCTTCGGACGTTCCTGCGCCTTCGTTTTCGAAGTTCAAGGCCTTCCTCCTCTTCTTGAATATCTTCTACCGACCTCTCTTCCTCGTGCACACTCGAGTCCTTTTTACACTCGGTACCTCGTCTTTCCTATTTATTTTCCGTCATTCGCACGCGTTTCCGTTTTCCCGTCGCGCTCCCATCGATCTCTCGGCTCATTTCTTCACTTTCAGCGATAAATTCCACCGTTACTTTCCCCCTCCCTTTCCATCTCATATCCTCAAATCGTGCTCGGTTACCTCTGGTCTTTCACTTTCAACTACTTCTCGCTCGGGAACTTCGTCCTGGTAACATTCCCTCTTAAATAACCGTCGATTTTCGAGATCCGTATCGCATCTACCTCTCTTTCCCGGTTGCGAGTTCTCCTCCCTTTTCCGTCCTTTTCCCTTTCGACTTGTGCGATATCAATCCTCCTCTCGTATTTCACATTCGCGTGTTCCTTCCACCGAGAACTTCGCTCTTCCTTCATGTTACCTCTCCCTCCCTCCCTCTCTCTCTCTCTCTCTCCTCCTTCTCGGCGTTTCCTCTTTGACGCGTCGGGCCCTCCAGGCTCCGCAATCATATCTAGTTATCCAGTTGTTCGATGTCGAGAAAGGCGAATACCCTTTCTCGTTGTCGTTACGAGCCCTTTCTGCGGCGTCCACGTGCAATCATCGTGGCGAGCGATCGTTGCAAGGTGAACGCGAAAAGCGTTGCTAACTTCGTCGTGACGCGAGCCCCGCGGCCCTTCGCTCGTCGTCCCTCGAAAGACACGTCTTCACTTTTGTTCCTTCGAAAATGTCGGCATGATAGCACCGTGTACACCTCAACGCTCTATATATCGACGTGTATCTGCCGAGGGAACTTTTCAATCTCACAAGAGAAATAGCCACAGGGGGGAAATACGTAAATAATTCCACGAGTCACAACACTTTCGATTACTAATTCAGCGTGTTACAAAAGAAACTGGTTTCTTCGATAAGGAGAGCCCGGAGAGAAATTTTTTGCCGACACACGGCAAATTGCCCGTTACTATATAGTGACAGCGATAAGATTCGTTAAGTGTATTAATAGTTAATTATGCCAACAAAATGTCATCGCTATCGCAACGACGTTTCGCTACGACAGCAAAATTACTTTTCTCCGCGTAACAAATCTTTCGCCGTCACTGTAGCAACGATTTGTTGTACCGGCAAAAAGTGTTTCCCCGTGGACGGATACACAAAGCGGAGCTGCAGGCGTCTTGTGTGACTGGAGAATTCTTCTAGACTCGAAGCGAGCGCGATGAACAGAAATAATTGCGGAATTAAATACGCCTGTTATATTCGCATCACGATTAAGCTCCGTTGTTAATCTTTACTTCCGCTCGATCGATGTACCCAGCTATAGGTCTTGGCTGGAGAGACTGCGGAAGGAGAATCCAGCATTCTTAACGATAGTGTCCCTAGAACTGCCGGAATCGCCGATTCCTCTGATAGAGTCGCAGGCGAACGCCCGGTGGAGGCGCGACGAGCCTAATGAAGTCGCGAGTGAGAAGGACGACATCCTGGACGAATTTCTGGAGAAGGTCACGGAGGCCGGAAAGGAAAGGGAGAAAAAGAGTCGCGCGGCGAGGAGCAATCTGTCACGGAAAAGTCGGCGCAGCGGCAGGAGGAATGGCGAATCCTTGGAATGTACTAAGGCGCTCGCCACCCTCGAAGAATGCACGCGAAACATTGTCGAAGGTCAGATTATTATACGAATACTCGGTAGAAATTGGGGGAAGTTCAATGGTAAAATTTGATATTGGTGGAAGCATACAATTGAAAGATTAAATTAATACACATCAGTGAATGAGAGCACGGGAAGCGGCAGGATGAGTTTATATTCGCGACTAGTGAAAATTTTGCCAGTTACAAATGTAATAAAATGCAAACATTTATGTGGTCAAACATATTTTTATAGAAACATATTTTATAATTGACTATATGTCAGACGTATTTTATAATTGACTATAAGTTCGAAATGTCGTACCATTTTTCTCCCGGTGCACAATTAGCGACAGTTAATTGGAGTAATTTCCTCCGACATAGCGATGAAGAAAACGGAATTATCTTCTCGGTGTAGGTAAACGACGAGCAATTTCCGTTTCTGCGCGATCCGAAAATACTCGGAATAAAATAAGGAATCCCCGAGGCTGCGTTCTAAAGCGAACGGTAACGCGGCTAATGTTGCCTCCGGGATAATCGATATTCGTTACGACTTAATTGTCCTTGAAATCGGCCGTTTACGGACAATCGGGGCGCGCGGACCGCGAAGCGATCCGCAAGAAATCCGCATTTTCTCGTCCCGATGGCTTTACATTTAATTACCAATTTTTTCTCCGTTTACTAGTTCATAGATCAGACGCGGCGCGTCAGTTTTTATCGGCTGCCGCTCGACTTGCGGCGCGAGAGGCCTCTTTCCGAGCTCTCGCCCACGGCTCGCTTACGAAAGTTCGAGATTGCGATCCTGCCGATTGCGGTGATCGAGATCGGATTTCAAGGACGAGCGTCCTTGCAGGATCGCCGCGAGGGAGCCGGGCTTTGAAATCGCCCGGGGCTCGAAATCCGCCGCGATTTCTCCGCCGAAATTTCCTCCGCGACGAGAGCACGAGAGCCGCGAACGTTCTCGCGCTCGACGTTATCGAATTTTCAGGACCGAGCCGGCGGGACGCCGTCGACGGCGGCGACTGCATATGCTCCGAGATACCGCAGGATCTGCGAATTAACATTCGCAGGAGGACGACGGAGGTCGCGCGGCCGCCGTGCACACCGAGCCCGGAAGTGACTCATACGATTCGGATCGCGATGAAGTACCAGTCGGAACGCGTTGCCGAAGACGACGACGGCAGTCTGGACGAGGAGGACGAGGCGGCGGCGGCGGAAGAGGAGGGAGGTAGGAGAACGAAAAACGAGGGGAGCAAGAAGGATCTTCAAGGTCCGTCGAACGCGAGGAAGGAACCGATGAAGCAGGACGGCCGTTGCGTCGCCGGTGTGAAGGCCGCCTTAGACTTCACACTAAATTGCAATAGCGTGCGACTGACTTCTCGTGACACGAGCCTGAAGACAACGACGAGGAGCGAGAGGCAGGAGCGGCCGGAAACGCGAAGTTAGTTCGCGTGGGTTTCCTCTCGAAAGTGCCCTCGCTCGCCCGATCCGTTCCTCGGGATGGATACTCTGTGTAGCTTTAAATAAACACCGTGGAGCGTAATGGTCCTCAATTATTTCCCCTTTCCTGCTTGTCTCCCGAGGTTTCAACTTGTAGTTAAAATCTCCCCTCGCTCGGAATAATCTTTTCGTTCCGAGTCTACGCGCTCTCTCTCTCTCTCTCTCTATTTTTTCCCCTCACGTATCGAATACGTTCGCTTTTTCCGTGATCGTGGACTGAGAATCGTACGGCCGTGTGTGACGCTAATCACGTGTACGTGCGGGAAGAGCCTCGTGGGGAGAGACCACGACAACGCGGTCGAAATTTACATTAAACTGATTCGAGCCGACTGCGTCCTCGATATTTAGCTAATCGCTATTATATGGAAGAAAGCTCAGTTCGTGTGATTGAATATGCATCATATTAAAATTCTCTGTCAGATTAATCATCTGCTTTCTCCGTCTTCTTTAATGTCGGAATTTTTTATCTTCTTTAACACGCGCGCGAACTGATGAACCAATCAGGGTTCACGTAATGATTTAACAGCCGCAAACGACAGGCGGAAAAGTGACAGTGATTTCGATAATCTCGCCTTCTCACGATTTCCTCTTTTTAAAGAGAGATTTGCAAATCCGATAAAAGCTTCGCTGCGCGTAATTTTATGCTTTTCAGTCCAACGGCTCGCATATTTGCCGGAAGGTCGCCGAAGCAACGCGATACGCGAACCACGGCGGGACACGCTCGACGGAGACGCGGGGTGTTTGTCTCGTCGGCGCGAGTTTCTAAATTTCGCTCGGAACCGCGGCAAAAAGCCGCTCCTTTTCCGACGCCGCCGAAAGTGGGAGGGCCGAGCCGCCTCGCGCGCCTCGCCGGCGCGGAATCGCCGGCGTGGAATCGTGAATCTTCCCGCGCGGCAATAAATCGCAATCGCCGCTTCGATTTCTGCGAACACGCGCGCGCACGAGAGCGCGAGAGCGCGGAGATACGTCGAGGCGGCCTATTAATTAGCTCGTCTAATAAATCGCGACTGGCCGAGCGAGGGAGGGAGAGTACGCGGGAGGAAGGGGAGAAGAAGGGGGAAGAGCGAGACGATATCGCCGTCTCGGTCTCTCTCTTTCGCGATCACTGTAGGTAAGAAGAGACGAAGAGGGCGAGAATAGCGAACAGATGGAACGAAGAGAAAAGGGGGTTCGGCAGGAGCAAGNGGGGGGGGAGAGGAGGCCATGAGGGGGAGAAGTACGCCGATCAAGAGGAACAAGAAGAAGAGGAAGCGGACGAAAAAGAGAGACCATCGTACGAGTTTCGTTGGTGGACCAACGCGAGATGAGAATCGCACGTCTAGGCTGGCCTCTTGGAAGGCTAAGCCGAGGCCCAAACCGGGTGAGAGAAGTTGGCCGGTCCGTCTCTCCGTCTCTCTTCATCTACCTCTTTTCCTCCTCCGCTTCTCCACCTCTTCCTCCCACTCTCGCGGGGCGACTATCGCGTTTTTATTTTGTCTGTGCTCCGCGCGTTGCGCTCTCTCTCTCTCTCTCTCTCTCTCTCCCTCTCTTTCTCTTTTTTTTCTCTCTCTTGCATTATCTCTCTCTCGTTCTCTCCGTCGTCCGCTCAGCCTCTCTCTCTCTTTCTCTCTCACTCTCTCTCCCCTCTCGGCTTCTCTCTCTTTCGCAGGGCGAAAATGGTTCATGGCCGTTCCCGAGTGCCGATTTCGCCGCGAATCCTGCGCACGGAGGATCGACCTCTACTCCTTTATCCTGCGTCTGCACCTCTCCCGGTCCTGCCGCTTTATTCGCCACGCTTCTTCGCTCCGGCCGCTTCGCAGTCGCCCGTCGCGGTTTTTCTTCGCGGTATTCCTTTCTTTATGCACGCGATTGCATCGTTCGCTCTTTTAACGCGCTGTAATGGAATTTCTGTTTTCTACCGGCTAGATTACTACCACCTCCTCGGCGTTTTTTTCTCCTCTCTCCCTCCTCCTCCCTGCTCTCTCATTCTCTCTCTCTCTCTCTCTCTCTCCTTCTCTCCCTCATCGGAGTTTCGTTACTTTATAATGGACGGTGGAATGGTGCTCGGTCGAACAATATGGGAGCCGTTTATCACGAAAGTCGTAAATCATACTTCGAGGCACAATAAAGGAGTAATAAGATGCGGGTGCAAATTCATGCGATACTTCAGCGGGACTTTCAAAATACGGCTTACCGGCGTTTCAAAATGAATGGCTTCTATAAATTGTTAGCGGAGAGATCATTGCCTCTCACGCAGCGTCGCTCACAAGAGATTCCGTCTCTCTTGTTCTATATATATATATATATTACCATCCCGCGCCGAAGCAGCAGCCACTCGTCTCCTAATCACGCAATCATCATCGTCGTCGTGGCCCCCTTCCTTTTCCATTTTCCCCGTACTCTTCTATTGAATTTTACTCGAATCCGAACTACGTCAACTGCAGTGTCGGAACGGTTCACCCTAACCATAAGGCTACACCTAACGCGGACGCCTCTCGGATGTTCAACTCGACGGGCATTAATTCCGCGCGCAGCATCCTTCCGCACGGAAGGTCCTTCCGCTCAGGTTACCTATCTTCTTGACGTTTTCTTAGAGCGCAGTTACAAAACTACGTCACCCGACACAACTGACCTAAAGAAGGGGAGCTCATTAACTAACGATTATCGCCCAGTCTCCATCACGTTCGACCGGCCAGGATGACGATCGGCGCGCGCTGCTCCCGTATAAATAACCATCCTTTGCGTATACCGTCAAGGGTTCGCCCAAGAAAGACGGAGGGACAGCGTGAAACAAACGCGAAAGCGTGTAAGTTCTAATCGCAAAGAGAGTCCTTTCTCTTGGATCAGGTTACCATAAATAATGATCCCTTTGCAATATTTATAGTATCCCCTACCCCCTGTACCGGCCGCCTCTTTATGACCGCCTCCCTGTCATTCTTCTCCCTCGCCCTATACCGTTTCTTCGACGCCGTTTCTTCGGTTAGGTTCACCCTAACTTTCTCCGCCCGTTTTATCCACCCAGCCGCGTGTCCTGCTCCTTTTTATCCGCTCGCTTGGCCGAGAGCCGAGCTTTCCTACTTTCCGCCCCTTCCTCCTCTTCTTCCCCTCATCGCACACTCTCTCCCTCTTTCTCCCTCAATGTTCTTCTTCCTTCATCCCTCTCTATCTACTCCTGTTCTCGAGCATCGATTAACGTGTTTACCCGATCGGCTGGTAGCGCAAAAACGCGCGAACGACCGCACCGGCCGCAATCGACGTTCGCGGAAGATCGCGGAATCGGAAAACAAAGAGGACTTTGTGCTCCGCTGATGAGACTGCGACGCGCCTCCTTCTCTTCTCGCTCGCCCTCCGTTTTTCTTCTTTTCTGTCGGATATAACGAGGCGCGGAGAGCGAGAGGGAGAGAGGCGAGGAGAGGCGGCAGATAGGGAATTGGTATGTTGATTGCCGTGCTGGAGGAAAGAGAGAAAGAAATAGAGAGAGAGAGAGAGAGAGAAGGAAGGGATTTTGCGTGTTCTGGAGTCGGATGATCCCGCTTAAGTCGTGTTGCCGAAACGAGAATGGCTTAGCGGGGCGACTCGTGAATTGATTTGACGACAGATCTCTCTTTGTGGCTCTTTGTGGACCGCGAAGACAACGTGAGTGCGTGTTTCTACCGTCGTTTGTCATACTTTTAGCGAGTGATAGGAGAAGTATTAGATAACTACAAAACAGGCGTGAGAAATTCCTCGAGATTGATTCGGAATTAGACTGAATGGCTCTTAATGCGGATCGTTGTAAATTCGCTGTCGACGAACGCGCGTCTCATTCGGGCGCGAGCACGACGACGGCGCTTGAAATTAAGATATCGGACAGATTCGTTCCTTAAGTGGACTTCTCACTTGAGGGTCTCTCACTTGAGGGTCCTGCCCGAGGATGAGGTTTCGTTCAGCTCAGACAGGCCGATTAATTCTGCCGATTCTTTGAAATGGTCGCGCACGAGCAACCTTTCGCGAATAATCAGCGAACAGCTTCTCGCTCTCGATATATCGAGCGAAAATATAGATTACGCAGAAGCGAAATCAATTTAGTCCCGCTTGTATTTGAGAGAATGGCATTTCGTAATTGGGACGATCGTATGCTTATCATCGGGGAGTATCCTATACTGAGGAAAAAGACTTAAGAATTCATTTGTGAAATCAAGATTTATTCCACAGAGGAACAAACGTTTATCTAACCCTTTGCACTCCAGCCTAGTAATGCATAGAGGCTATTAGTTCCAAGTACATACCTATGATGTAGAAGAAAAATAGAGTCGTTTCAATAAAACAAAATTTTTATTTCTTAGCTATTTTATAACAAAACATATTCTAACTAATATTATAAAAGAAAAACATAAATTTTAGGACTTAAAATTTCTTAAAGTGCCGAGGCAGCAAAACAACCATGTCGCCGCTACGGCGACAGCGGAGTGCAAAGGGCTAAATAAAATGTTATCCCTAGCAAGTAAATCAATAAGAAAATATTTCACAAAAATAAAATTCTCGGTGTAAATTATATTTCTAATATCTTTTGTATCAATATAAATTCTCCCGTATTCAACAAAAGCGGATCGTAACTGATGAAAGCGGAAGGGTGTGAATCGCGACGAGAACTGCGCAAAATAACTACATAAATTAAGGAAACAAGCGTATATCTGTTGCGAACAAATTGAACTAACAAACGACAAAGTGACGAGGAAAACGTCATTTCAAAACGCTCATCGCGTCGAGAAATTTAGCGGGGGCGGACGGAGGAGGGATGAGGGGAGGAGAGGAAAGGAAAGAAGAATCGTGGAGAGATAAAAGAAGTAGTAGATACATCCTTGATGAGCGATCGTTATCACGATGAAAATGCAGTCTCGAATCGATTCACGGCGGAGTCGATTTCTCTCTCGGCTCCTTTTATTAGACTGCCAATTTCGTGGCGCCTTCCACGGAATTCTCTCTTTCTCCCTCCCCCTCCCCCCTCGT